TGGGGACCACCGAGGTGCAGTGCACCACAACCGATGATGCTGGCAACACGGCGACAGGGACCTTCGAAGTGGTCGTGGGCACAGCCAGTGTGCAGCCTCCAAGCTTCGGCGTTTTGCCTGACATCAAGGCAAAGGCACCGCTTTGCAGCGTTACCAAAGTGGAGTTCGATGTGACAGCAACAGGTGGTTGCACAACGAAAACCAGCTGCATTCCTCCGTCAGGATCCATTTTCCCAATGGGACGAACAACGGTGAAGTGCACAGCAGAAGATGCAGCTGGCAATGTTGCCAACACAGAGTTCCAGGTAAAGGTAACTTGTGGCCGCCTACATCGCCGCCGACCGAAGACCGGCTACTACGGCGACGAACCTGAATCACGACTCCCATGATGCTAACATATACTAGCATCTCAGACCACTTGCCGATGCCCTTCCGAGCTCCATCAAGGCCAGAACCGCCCATGCAATCCTATATCCTCAAGCCAGAAGCTATCCGAAGCTGTGACCGCAGGGGCCATCGGCAGAATCGTTTAATCATTCCTGGTGCCACCACGGCGCCACGTTTTGCCACCCTTTAGAGCATGCCCTCGAGCACAAATGTTTTAAAAGGCATGACATCCACGAAATGCCTGCGCGCCAGAAGCTGTCATCAGTTGTGACCGCAAGGGCCATCGGCAGATTCCTGGTGCGACGGCGCCACGTTCTGCCACTCTTACAGCATGCCCTCGAGCACGAATGGCATGACAGCCACGAAATGCCTGCGTGCCAGAAGCTATCCGAAGCTGTGACCGCAGCGCAGGGGCCATCGGCAGAATCTTTTAATCATTCCTGGTGCCACCACGGCGCCACGTTCTGCCACCTATAGAGCATGCCCTCGAGGACAATTGGCAGGCCAGCCACGACATGCCTGCGTGCATGAACTGACGGACACTCGTCGTTTTTTGCAACTTGCCATTGCCTCAAGCTTTGCTTCGTCATGGCTCCGACGGTTGCATTCGGGCTCAGAGGGCTACGCGGCTACACTCTGTGGGCACAAGGCATGTACCCTATGTTCTGATGTAGTTCTTCACATTGTACAAGGATTCTGGAACCACGAGGGTTGGACTAGGGTGTTTCCACACAGGAGAGCATCCTACTGCAGACTTAAACCTGGAACCCTCTAAGACCTTGGCCTACAACATCCTACAACTTTAACCTTTCAACTGAAACCCTAACCCCTACACCCTATAAGCCCTAACCCTAAAGCCCTAAAGCCCAACGGAAGCAAGGATCCAAGGATACATGGAAGGAGTAATCCCGTAGGAACCGCAGGAGACTAGCAAAGCCGTGTATACGCCGAGAGCAAGCAGAGTAGTCGGGTGCTGCAAGCTTGCTAGGCTTAGTGCCTTCGCTTTGTTCTTTCCCGAAGCGGCAAGTGCCATGGCAGAAGAGGCGGGCTCATGTGCGGACTTTAATCACGCGTGTTTGGCCCTCCTGAGAGCTGCCCCGCCTTCAGACTATTTTCGCATGCAATCTCTCGTACAGCCAGTAGAAGGTTTAGGCCCCAGACCTCAGTCGCAGACGGCGAAAGCTCTGGATTCTAGACTCGGGGCGCGTGCGGGGTGCAGATGTTTACGAGTTTTATTTTCGTGATGCCTGGCAGCCGTGTGTGGGGCCATACGGTTTCAAATTCTTCCAAGCCGTGTCCTGAATGGTTCCATGAGCCTTCCGCCGCCATGCTGAAGGCGGTTATACGCTGCGAAGTGCGGTACCATCGAGGTGCGGACAAAATTAGGGTGTGCAGTCTGCTGGGTCTTTGCCCAAGTTACTCAAGTTCGTACGACTGGTGGCAACAGTCCTCTTGGCAGCGACAGTCGTTTGCACCGCCTGAAACCCAGACTCAGCACGCTCGTTGCTCTTCGTCTCCAAAAACCTGAAACCTGAACGTTCCTGGAACCCTAAGGCCCCGAACTCTTGTGCAGGTATCGAGCAGCAGGATACCGTTCCAGAAGGTGCGGCTGTAGAGTTGGCAGAGTGCCTTCTTCTCACATGTCTACTTGAATTACTTGAATCTGAAAGATCATGAGACTTATCAAGTCGGATATATGTGGCATTGAAGACTCGAACGAGAATTGCGAAGCAAAGCACTCAGGAGCCCGACTTGAACGTTGCCGTTAAGTAGAAAGGGCTCATCAGCCTTAAAGCAAAGCACCATGCGGTTTTCTTGCTGCCATACGATGTAGCCCGCAAGAAGCGACAAACTTAACCAACTGATCCACGCACACTGTTAAACTGCATGTTCCGTTCTCCGAAGGCATTTACAGCCGAAATGAAGGCTGTCATGTCTTGCTGGCTAAACGACCGCGGTGAACGCCCACGGCCAGCAGCTTGCTCAACTTCATGCCCTGTAAGAGTACAACAGGTGTGTCAGGCATGAAGACTGCGGAAGGACATCTTTAGACCCCAGGGCCGTTTCGACAGAAGGGCGGAAAACGTCCTCCGTGCTTCAGCGATGAAAGTGACGCGCTGGCCCCGGCCAGCCATGCGGTGGCACATTTGGGGCGCTCAGCGAAAACTGCGAGAAACCCTTGCCAGCATCTACCCCCAAGCCAAGGTTTAGAGAAGCCGGGGTTGAAGCTCGGCTGTCCGCACCAATTTGCCAACGCTGTTGGCAGATGATGACCCATATGACACGTTGCTGCTGCGGATGAGCATCACTATGCCGGGCACTCGGCTTTGGGGTCTGTGCTGTGGACTCAGATTCCTGCGATTTGCGGACGGCAGCTCCATAGACGGCGCGCGTCGACGATTGTGCTATTGCTCACAGAACTCCAACCTTTCCGGATCTTGAGCAGCTACTGTGCGTCGTCGGGATTGAGACTTCAGACGTCGTGTTGATGGTGCAATGTTCCCCACAACTCGAGACACGAACGTAGAGTCTAACGGTCCGTGCCATGTCGGAACTGGCCATCTGCCCGCGTGGAGAGTGCTCAATATCTGAGCATGGAGTCGTAGACACCAGTTCAGTCCTTGAGGAAAGTCGCAGCTAGCTCCTTTTGCAAAATTGGTGGATGGCCACAAGCGAGACACGAAGTCTCTGGTCCAGCCAAGGGCCCAAAGTGACGAGGATGCTGCAGACGAGGCCAGACCTGGTTTGCCAGCTTTTCTCATCTTCGATTCGAACATAAAAGTCGTTCCATTTTCTAGGGATCACCCCAAAACACGAGAACACGAAGCCGAAGCCGGCCGAAGCCTACTATACACAGTTGAATGGCCCTATGTGAACGGCCTTACACCGTCTGCTTCCGGGTCCCAGATCCCAGCTTTGTGGTCAGTTGCAGCTGCACGGCCGATGGGCCGCCATGTTTCAGACCGCCGGGCCGGGGGTCCCAGACATAAATATAACATTAGCCCAGATGCTTTCAGGAAGGGGAAAGGAATCTCATGTAAACTAATCGCAAAGACACCCCAAAGCACACATGAACCGAGTCGAGCCACACTGTGGGTAGGATTCAACTGCAAAGAAGCTTGGCGTTCTTCTGGTTGGCTCTTTAGACTTTAACTTTTTGGGTTTCTATATGAACTATAATATTTGGGCAAAAAGTTTAACTTTCAGGAGGGGTTCAGAAGTACGCCAAGGAAACCAACCATGGAATCCATGGAGACGCAAAAGCAGGATAGCAGGCGAGGCGTTTAGAGCAGCCCTTCAATGCCTATACGCTAACGACAGTAAAAGGCCCTCTAAGCCCAAGGACATCCCGAAACCCTAAGTCCTGACAACTCAACATTTGTAACACCGCAGCAAAGTCTTGACAGACTTGGGTGGCCCTACTTCATTCAAACTCCACAAGCACGACTTGCATATTCCTTTTCGAGCGGGTTGCTCCCTGAAATACTCTAGTGCCTGTCGAGCAGTTTGCTCGTTGTTTGTCAAACACTCTACTCATTGTAAAGCGGCTTGCTCCGTGTTTCTCGAACACTCTAGTCCGTTTCGAGCGGCTGGCTCCTTGTTTGTCAAGCACTGTAGTCATCGTCGAGCGGTCTGTTTCTTGTTTCTCAAATGCTTCAGTCCCTTTTCGAGCGGTGTGCTCCCGCTTTCTCATACACTCTAATCCCTTTTGAGCGGTTTGCTCCTTGTTTCTCAAAAAATCTAGTCTTTTTTGAGCGGTTTTCTCCGTGCTTAACTGTAAAGGGAAAAAGACAGGGGCCCCCCTCGTCCTGCACTTCTCGGGTGGGCTTGCGCTTGAAAGGAATGGAGGTGTGTGTGCTTTGACCCTACCTCGGCCGCATACCAGATCGTGGTTTCTCCAGAGGCCTGGGGACATGCTGCAGCTCGAGGGCGTCGAGGACAGAGACTGCAGCTTGTGATTGTTGCAATCCGCCACAACGTCATTCTTCTCGCCCCTAGGCCCTAAATGTCTTCAGACATTGTTGCCACATGACTCTCGTGTCCGCTCTGCGTCTGAGCGCTGGGTTCGTCACGTCGACGGGCGTGAGATTTGGTTTTGCAGCCGCAATGCCTTGTGCGGCATTGGGAGGAGCTGTCGGACGATCAGCCCGGACCTTGGAAGGGTTTGAGGCTCGCGCCGGGCCGCCTGGGAACAGGCCCGGCGGCCTGGGTGATCAGGGCCAGGTTCGACTGTTGCACTTGACGTAACTCGCCCTCGCTCCGTGCTGCAAGAGATTATCCGCCTCAACCTGCACTTGCACGTGCAGATTTTTTCCCTGTATCTGTGGCGCATTGCGTGGCCGTCGCAAAAGACCGCCCAAACCCTAACTAATCTCTACAGGGTTTTGAAGTGTTTGGAGTCCCTGAGGGGTTTTAAAGTGTCGTGGCCGAATGAGGCGCAACGGCCGCTGTTTCTCAGTCTCCGGCGACGCAGCCGCCATGGTCCTGAAATGGAATTCCAAAGCACTCATGCCACATGTGGTGGCTTCGGAAAATTTCAGTCGTAGCATAAAGAACCCGAAACAAGGTGTCGCACGACTCTTTCATCATGGTCTGCGGTATGCACTCACGGGATCTTCGGACGGGGCCGGCGGGTTTCTTTCCACTGAGCTATCTTCGACGGTAACGACGCCTGAGTTCAGGGCCAATATAAATCCCAGGAGATGTAAAGGATTCTTCTGCATCCGAAGGCTTCAGGTCCACAGCAATGCGAAGCCTGTACCCTCTCCAGGCTGTAACCATCTATCGGGATGGCTTCCACTACCGTGTCGACAAGAAGAGCATGGAGGCATCCCCGAAGCCCAACACCCTCAGCTTCTAAACCTGCGAGGCCCCCGAGGCCCTAGACCCCAACCTTCAAAGTGCACGAGCCTGAAGATAGAAACACCTGCGCAGAACCTGGACCTGCCGGAGTGGTTGAGGATTCCTCCCTCGAGGAAGGCGGACCTCGGGTGGTTTCAAGCACGAAGAGTCGGGCACTTTATCCCGGAATTAAGTATGGGTGGAGTTTCTGCAAGCTCGTAAATCTGTCATGCAGGCAGGCCCAGTTCGGCTAGTGCAGGGTGTCCGCATCATCGGAGCTTTGGCGTCATAAACGACTCTGTGCAACCCAGATCTTGTGGTGGTTTGCTGCTGTCTGCTTCACCTTCCTGGGGTTTCAGAGCAGCCATTGATGCTGGGTCTTTTCCGCGATTGTTTCGGTGATTGCTTCAAGTCCAGTGTTGAGGGTCGCTTGACTGGAACAGGGTTGCGACGACATGCGCTTTCCTCATCCGGCCTCTGACTGCAGCCAGCTTGGGCTTTCAACAGAGCTGCGGCTGTATATGACTGGGATTAGGACGGGGCTTGCTCAGCATATCAGATGGCATATCAGAAGTAGCCCTACCGGTATCAACTCCTCCACTCGACTCCATGCACGGAACTATACTCCCAAAGTCCTCAGACGACTTGCTTGAACCCTACCTCGAAACCTGCACCCAGAAAGTTTTTGTTTACGAGCCTGGAAAGACCCGGTGCTCAGCAGAAAATACCCTCCGTGCAACTCTTCTCCTCCGCTTGAGCTCTGACATGGCCGAGACGGAGGAGGCGGGACGGGAACGGGAACGGGGGCTGCGGCCGAGGCTTGAGGCCACCTCTCGAGCCTTCCCGGAGCCTCAGAATCTGTTGCCGTTGCTCCTTGCCAGGTCGCCGTAGTCGACGAGGACCCGGGAAGCCGTGAGAAGGGGCTCAGGGTATAGTCGGTATAGTGTCAGGGACGAAGGCATATCGCGGGCTTCGAGCTTCAGGCCTACTCGTACGTGGCTTTGTTCAATGTCGAGCAGCGCAAGGTTTCGAAGAAGGGTAGATGACCGACACTTGAGCGCCTAGGAGCCGCCGCTCCGGGACAGGGTGCCCTGGTCAAAGTGATTTTGCTGTCTCAGTTTTTGGCCCAGGGCATTCTCCTAATTTCGCCCTCAATTCGTCCAAGATCCTCCCACGGCAGACGAGCCGAGACGAGCCAAGGCCGATGTCGAATGGCCGGAGGACTTCAATGTCTCGCAGCGCCAGCGAGAGGTGCGGAGCAGCTTTGGTGTAAAGCCTCGGGCGCCTTTGCCGTCCTCCTTCGGTGGGAGCACGGGTAACTAGGTGATAATGAGGTTGCAACTGCCCCTTAACCGTTTCAGTTGCCGGACGCGGCAGGCCATGCAGATGCTCAACTGCCTGTGCGAGGCAGTCTCCGTTGAACTAAGGGTACAAGGTCAGGCAACCGTTGAGGTGGTGTTGACATTTCATGTGGTTTAGTGTTTACGAGTTCGTGGTAAATGAGCGCAGCGCACATTTCGTGAAGCCGTGACACATATGCGATTAACCTGGTGATAAACTCAGTGAGTATGCGGTGATCTGTTCGTGGTAATTTAGTCAGAGTCAAGCTGTGGGAAGTCTGTGGCGAAGTAGTGAAGTGATAATTTCGTGACATGCCAGGAAGAGCTGATAGTTGATGCGTTAACATATACACACAGTTCGTTTCAGTGAGTCCTTCCGCTACATCTTAGCCTACCTGGGCCTTATAGCAGCAACCCTGAAGCAGCTTGCTTCCCAGAACGAAAGCTGCCCTAGACCCTAAACTTCTGTCTTTGGCCATTGGTGAGGCGCTGGTCGCCCGAGGCGCTTGCGTGGTTCGCCGCGCCGGCGTTGCGCCACGGCGGGCCGAGGAGGCCCTGGAGAACGCGGCGAAGCTGGAGGCCTTGGAGTTTGTTTGTTGTTGGGGCTCAGGATTTTAGGTTTTGGGACTTTAGCTTGCGGGTTACTGTAAGGAGGGGAGTCGTGCTGCAGCAGTGTTCTCGTGACAGAGCTGTGGTGCTGGATGCAGAATTTGTCTAGCCGAGAGCTGCGCGGTCATAATTTCTGCTTTCGGAGATTTTCAAGCGCTGGTGGCTCTGAAACTTTAAATGCTCCCGTCTCGATGAAACCCCAAAGCCCGAAAGACCTCGGCTCTGAAGCATCGTGCTCTGAACGCTTACAAAGGCGGGCCTGGGAGTCGGTAAGTCGGTTATTTGGGGTTATCTATAAGTTATAAGCTTATCCTACATCCCTAAAAAGCAGGATGTGGGCTGGCTACGGAAGGAGACGGAGCAGGCAGCCTCGATGTTTGTTTTAGGGGGGGGGCTTTCCTGTTTGCTGAGTCTGATAGAATTGGGACAAGCCCTCAGTTGGGAGGCATACCTTGGCCTGGAGAACATGACGCGCATCAAGGACCGGATGGGCTGGGTTCTGCTGCTTGCCCTTGTCTGCAGACAACAGACTTACTGGAGCCTACTGCTTTCCTCATGGAGCCCGTAGAACGTGGAGCTTCAAAGCGAAAGACGAAAGGAACTCCGAGCCCCCGATGCACCCGCCATCGCGGACGAGCCGGACGAGGCTACGGGGAGATCTTAGCAAAAGGGCACCCCAGGAAGTTTCGGGCTCTGCAGACTCTACGGCGCCAGTTCTCATTCGCCGGTGCTGTATCCGAGCAGTCACGTCTTCGGTCTCAAGATGGCGGTTCTCGGGCTCGGGCTCCTAGTAAACCAGGCTCAAGTCCCTTTGCTTATGATAGACGGTTCGAGGTGATTCAGGGTTCAGGCTGCCCAAGACACTTTGCATGCCCAGCGCAAGCCCTGATCCGTGGCTTCGGCCTTACACCGCAGTTTGCGTTTCTGAAGAAAAGGCCTAGCGGTCTGAGCAGCCGTTCGGGGATTCTCCTGTCCATATACCCCAAGTCTCAAGCTTCGTGAGGCATTTGCTGAAGAAGCTCTAGACCACTCATGCCTTCGCATCGTTCGGCCCTTCGGATCAGGCGGATGGAGCCAAGCCAGAGATCGAAGACACCAAGTCAGAGTCGATGCTTGCCACTACAATTGGGGGAACTGTTTGATGAAGAGTCCTACCTACTATCTAGGTCCCCTGTTATGGTCCATTTTATGATACTCCCACATCTATCTTCCGAAACCCTAGCCAGTTTTTTTCAGGTTTTCCACATTAGTGTGCGGCCGTTGTCAGCGGTGTGACGCCACCTTGGACCACAAACATCCACGGCTCTACCCCCCCGCGGTGCTTGGTTTCGGGCCTCTGCGCGGCGTTTCCGGATCTGAGGAGCTGGTACGATCCCGAGCTCTACGGCTCCGAGTCCGAGCCGGAAGAGGCCAGCGCTGGGATGGGGCAGTTGAAACGCTTTAAGAGGCTCGGGGGATGATTCAAAGTTTGGGCCAGGGTTTTCGCGACCCTGCCCACAGCGCCCAAGCCTTGTTGCCACTTTACGACTGGGTCTTTGTAATGTCGGCTTGTTCCTTGGATCTGAACCGAGCCTTGTTCACTAGATCCCGCGCCAGGAGAAAAAACCGATCGTGCGCAAGAAAGACTTGCCTCCGGACTTCACGGCTCTCAAGGCATCGTTTTGGAGAAAGCTAGAAAACCGCTCTCGTGTCTCAGCCTTGGGTTTGGAAGGGTTGGGTAGGAAGGCAAAGCCCGTTCGGTGTGTACCCAAGACAGGAGTTCGACGAGCACGTCACCGCTGTGGTCGACTTGCTTTCCTACAGCCCTGAGGCGGGCATTGGAGGATTTCGAGCTGCAAGGGGCCAGGGCGCGTGAAGCTTTGAAGCTCGGTGCTGGTGTTCGTTGGGATTCGCAGCATGGGTATGCCCAGCCAGGAGGCCTAAATCAAAGCACCAAGTCAGCCTCCCTTGTTGCGAGGCCTTCGGCGCCAAGAGTGCGCAGCTGGGCTGCAAGGGCAATCGGTTTCGATCTTGCTGACAACAAGCTTGCCTCGGGTGGGATTTTATGTTCTGTGTTCAGGCATGTCAAACCCCGAGAAAGGTCCAGATGGGTTTCGTCGCTTCAGGAGCAGCCTCCAGATCTTCATCTGAAGTTATGAGGAGAACGACTTCTGTGATGGGGGATGAGGGTTGGCGATAGCACCGGGCTAAAAAATGGTTTCCTCTGGAGCCCCCAAACTGTCTTCAGCAGCGAGCAAGGCACAGCAAGACGGGGAGCATCCTCAGGCGCATGGCTTCAGCTTTGCCTTCGTCGGGCTTCGGGGGGAGAGTGGTGGAAGGGTTCAGACTTAAGATCTCCGCTTCATCGCGGGCTTTGTCGTGTAGTGCACGTGTCTCTTGCTCTTCTTTCGGGGGTTGAAGGGTCCTCGTGAACAGGTTGAGGAGTTGAGACGTTGGGCCCAAGATGGAAACTTGAAAGACCCGGCCCGGCAGAAAGCCCTAAACGAAGCCAAGCAAAGCTCTTTCGACAGGATCCCGCATACTGCCGAGGGTGCCACTTGGCAGCACTGCCGGGTCTAAGACTGGAGATGAAGAATTTCGGCTTTTTGGAGCACCGAGGTCTCCTTGGTGGGCCAGGCGGGTGCCATGGACGAACGGGATCGGCGAATGTCTGAGGAGTTCATGTCCTGGGCTCCTTGGCTGTGTTCAAAAAGACCCTTGAGTGCACCTCACTAGACTCTAGACCCTCCCTCCCTTGCGTTTCAGCAGCCCATGCTCAAACCGAAAGAGGGCACTCGCTGCTCTGAACACACACACACACACCAGAGACTGCAAAGACCAAGTTGCAAGGTTCTCTCTCGCCGACTCTGCGCCTTCTATGAGGTCAAGCAGAATCTTCGCGTTCAGGGTTCAGGGCTTCATGTCTTGGCCGTCGCCGGGCTCTACGGGATTCTCAGATGCCGTGGAAGAACTTCAGAAGGCCGAGCGGAACTTCGGGCACCGCGCTGTGCCGGTGCCGGCCAGTTTGTGGGGAGCTGATCCAAGAAAGCACCGCGATTCTCCTTCAGCCCTAGAAGCCCCCGAGAAGAGAACCCTGATCCTTCAGCCCTGAAGCCCCGGAGGAAGGCCTCCGCAGATTTCCTTGTCGGGATCCTTAGCGGGACCCTCTTGGCGTCCCACTCCGACCTGCAACAGGAAAGCCCTCCGACC